AACAGAGGAAGTGATAAACAGGAAATGATAAACAGAGAAAGTGATAAACAGGAAGAGATAAACAGGAAGTGATAAACAGGGAGTGGTAAACAGAGGAAGTGATAGAGGAAGTGATAAACAGGAAGAGATAAACAGATGAAGTGATAAACAGCAGCGATAAACAGGAAGAGATAAACAGAGGAGGTGATAAACAGGAAGAGATAAACAGAGGAGGTGATAAACAGGGAGTGATAAACAGAGGAAGTGATAAACAGGAAGAGATAAACAGATGAAGTGATAAACAGCAGCGATAGACAGAGGAGGTGATAAACAGGAAGTGATAAACAGAGGAAGAGATAAACAGAGGAAGTGATAAACAGGGAGTGATAAACAGAGGAAGTGATAAACAGGAAGAGATAAACAGATGAAGTGATAAACAGCAGCGATAAATAGAGGAAGAGATAAACAGAGGAAGAGATAAACAGAGGAGGTGATAAACAGAGGAAGTGATAAACAGGAAGAGATAAATAGATGAAGTGATAAACGGAGCGCATAAATGCAGAACTATGCCTGATCCCTGGCCAGAGCCTGGACATGAAGCAGCGGGCCAAGTCTTGGTTCTTGGGGACTTTGTGGAAGTTGGTCGTCCCCACCTCCCCACCTGCTGTTCCCACCCTGGATGCTCATCTGCGTCACCCACCAGAGCCCCACTCCAGCGGTTCTGACTCATGGGGTCTGGCGTGGAGCCTGGGCCTCAGTGTACTTGACCCAGATCTGCCCAGGTGAGGCCAACAGGCTTAAGGACAGCCTCTTTCTATCCCAGGAGGGCTCCCTGACCTCCGGACCGTGGACGGCCCTGACCGTCTGCGTGGCCTCAGTGCCCCATTGACCTGGCCCCCGCTGGCTCAGGGAATAACTATGCAGAATCCCAGACAGTGCAGGCCCTGTGACTTCCGCTGATCTGCAAACACACTGAGCCCATCCCCAGGCAGACAGGAGCTCTCGTCCCTTCTCTTGAAAAAAGTTGACTGTGATTGTTCTCTTTTTAATTTCCTCCCTTATTGTGTGGTTCCCTGCCGGGAGGGGGGTCAGTGCCACCCAGCTTTCCAAGCCTTAAGGTGCAATATCCTAAAACTGCAGGGGTTGTAATTCATTTAAGGCCTGTCTCTTTGGGCGTGTATATACACAAAATTGCTTTAGTAATAATTTGATGATCCTACCGATAATAACGATGGCAACAGCAGGCGCCAGACTCTTAGGACGTGCCCGGTGACCAAGAGGCACCTCTCTGTCCCTTCTCTATTCCTCCCTATTCTTCTCAGCCTTTCCTCTTGTGTTTCGGTCCCTTCCTCCCTCATATTTGCTCTCTCCTTTGAGGGACTCCAGTATAGACCTAAAGTATTTCTCATCAGTTATGATTACCAGATTGAATTTAGTATCTATGCCTGACCCTAAAACTCCAAAGCAAAAGCTTGGTCTCAGTTGTTATTCATACAGGCGCCACTGTTGATCCCTTGGCCCCCAACGCCTGATACTAAAAACATTCTCTCCCTGTGGCGCGGCCTCCGTGAGAGCAAAGGCCACTGGGGAGCCATGGTCAGGGCCTCAGGGAGCCTGCCCCATTGATAGCCCTAGCCACCATCGCAACAGCATACCCTTCCAAGGGCTGTGGGCAGCACACGATGCAAAGGAAGCTGTAACAGAGGTAACTCGTGGTCGTGCTGCGTGTTTCGCCCAGAGCAGCAGAGCCAGCTGGTTCAAGTGGCAAATCCCGCCAGGCTGGAGCATATTAGCCAGGAGCTCATTGTTCCCAGGCTCCCGGCACAGGCTCCACACAGCATGGAATAGCATCAGCCTGGAACCAGACAGACCCGAGCTCAGGCCCTGCCTCTGCCCTCTGACCAACGATGTGCTTGGGCAAATTAGTCCACCCCGGCCTCAGTTTCCTCGTGTTTGTTTCCTCGTTGTCTGGGCTAGGTGGCAGAGCTTAACAAACACTCTTGTTTTGACTGATATTCATCGAGTGCTTTTGAGGTGCCAGGCCTGACACTGATCCCTTTACATGAGGAAACTGAGGCGTAGAACAGCTGAGGTTCCACCCAGGATCCCACATAGCAGGAGGAGAAGCTGGCACGGACTTCTGCCTAACATGCCCCATTAGTTGGTGCCTGAAGAGTTGAGGCAGGCCTGTTTCCAAGCTCAGGTTCTCAAGTTCATCCCTGCGAGGCTTTGCTGGCTTTGCAAGCCTCATATTCCTGGACCGTCGATTCCACCAACCATTCTGGGCCCTCCTTGCAATGCACGTGCAGATGCTAACTCAGGTCAGCCCTTCCTGACATCACCAGCCCTGTTTCTTCCATGGACACTAGGGTGGGTAAGAGAAAGGAAAGGGAAGAGAAGCAGAGGTCATGGGTAGGAACGAAAGAGTGGGCACAAAGGTCCAGCCAGGGTAATGAGCAAGTAAATGACTCAAGTAATCCCATCACTTCCCAGGAGCCATAGAGGTTGAACTAACTGGTGAGTAAAAGCATTATCGTGGCGCCATCTGCTGGACCATGTGCTTATTGCAATGAATTTGTGGCAAAACCAGATATGGGTCTCAGAACTGGGGTTTTTGCACCCTGGCTGGACACCTGGCCAGCAGCGTCCTGAGACCTGTAGAAGCCAGATCTTTGGGTCTTCTGTGACTGTCAGGATATAGTTCTCTTCTAGTGTGAAAGAGCAGCTTGCCTGAAATAGATTATAAAAGTCTGGTGTCCCCAACTCTCATGAAGAACACAGATTCCATCTTCCATGTTGGACCCATTTCTTGGGTTTGGCTTTTGTAGGTGGGGGAGCATTTTTGAACCATAGAAGTGGACCCAAGCCACCTCTTAAAGACACATACGGACATACATAAAATACCATGCGAACCACCGTAAAATGCAACATTAAATATCATTTTTGTCATGATGTAAACATGTATTCAGTGGTTTATAGTTGAGAAGGTTGCAATTATAGAAAAGGAAGAGAAGGGCATATAAAATTGCTCATTGTGTCCTTGACGACAGATCATCAGCTCCTTTAGCGCCTGACCTCCGTCTTACATCCTGTAAATTCAGTCACAGACGTGTAACCAACCATCACATCCAAAAGACCATCTCTGCCTTCAAGGAGCTCACAATCTTTGGCAGAACTGACATGTCGTAATAATGACTGTATCAGAGTATGGAAAGGTCTGTGCGATGACACAGAAGGGCGGTCTTCTTGCCAGACCTTGGAGGCATGAGTGGTCAGGGGTGTAGGCCCTGAATACACAGGAGTTTGCCATAGAAGGATTTGGTCCTTCATTTTTTTTTAATGTTTATGTTTGAGAGAGAGAGAGGAAAGCACAAATAGGGGAGGGGCAGAGAGAGAGGGAGACTGAGGGTCTGAAGCGGGCCCTGCACTGAGAGCACAGAGCCCGACGCGGGGCTCGAACCCACAAACTGTGAGATCATAACCTGAGCCGCAGACACTCAGCCTGCTGAGCCACCCGGGTGCCCCTGTCCTTCATTTCTGGGAACTTCACTGGACCATCAGCCTTGATCTCTGTTCTCTCTGGTAGCTGATCATCATCTGCCAAGGATCTAGCAAAATCATAGATGGCTCCCTGACTACCCATCTCCATGAAAACCTTGGTTGTTGTCAAGCGTCAGAACTGTTGACACATTTACTGTGTGCAGGACAAGGCTAAGTTTCCACATCTCCCAGGGAATTCAGTCATCTGGCCAAGGTGTCGTAGCAGAGGCTGTGGTGGAGTCCGGGTACGACTGAGTCCTGACCTGGCTCCAACCACCGCAGGGCCCTGCTCAACACTCTCCCAACATGCTCTCCTTTTTCTCCTATTCTTAGCACCTGTGGTGGAGGGTGGACCTTACCAAGAGCAGCGTTTCTCCCTGGAAGGGAAGGCAAGGGGGGCTGTTGGCGCTGAGGTCTGCCAGCAGGGGGAGACAGACTGCCCAGGGGCCGGCATTAGAGCTCAGTGCCTTGTTTCCCGTGGGAGTCACAGAGGCTTGGAGTGGCTCTGTCCTTTCCCTCCTCACTTGATCAACACGAAAAGAGCAAAATCAATCACCAGGGAGGGATAATCCCTTGATGAAATGACAAAGGGAAAAATTGGCCTCTTTCTGTTTGATGAAACTCTTTAAATACAGAGAACAAACTGAGGGGCTGTGGGGGGTGGGGGAGGGGGAAACGGGTGACAGGCATTGAGGAGGGCACTTGCTGGGTTGAGCACTGGGTGTTGTAGGTAAGCGATGAACCACGGGAATCTACCCCCGAGACCAAAAGCACACCGTATACAGTGTGTGTTAGCTAACTTGACGATAAATTATATATATAATAATTAATTTATATATATTAGTTAATATATATAATATGTACAATTAATATATAATAATAAATTAATATATGTAATTAATATATAATATATACATATAATTCTTTGTAACATTCGTAACATATATATGTTTGTGTATATGTCGTAACATATACATGTGATACAATTCAAACGTGTTTCCCCCTCACCACTTCTTAGGTAACTGTCTTTTCCCTGCTGGGTGGGAACATGTTGCAATAGTTGTAGGTTTGTGGACGGCCACACTTGGCTTACTTAGCCGTCGTAGCATTTTCATGGTGCTAGATCTATCTGTGCTGCAGGAACTCTCGGGTTTGGAGGTCTTCAGGGGGAAGATGCTTTCCTTTTCCGGCACAGTTGGCCTCAGAAGTGTTGCTGCATAAAAGGAGCCTTACGACACAGGCTCTGTCGGAGGCCGCTGCGTCTCTGACACTTTCCGGAAGGCCTGGCCAGCTTGCGGTGCAGCAAACAGGGCACCGTTCCTGTCGTTATACAGCATTATGCACTGGTTCGCAGCTTTTAAGCCTTAGCACAGAAAAGCCATCCTGCCTTCTCCACGTCGTATCGTCCTCCAGAAAGCGCAAGGCTTTCCTCCCGGTGACTCTCGCTCAGCTCACCCTTTTCCCCTCTTGTCTCTCCTCAGCGATCCCAGTCTGCATTCTCACTCACCAGAGAAGATGCCCCGAGGACCCCTTCGCTGGAAGCTATGTCAAGGCCGCCCAGGGGCCAGGACCAGCCACCGAGGGAGGAGGCGGCCTTGCCCATCTGGAAGAGCGTGGACAGGCTGGATGACACAAGTAACTGTTTTAAGCAGCATCTGGTTGGTCTATGGGTCTCCAACGTGCTGTCTGGGGGCCTCTTAGCTGTTGAGTGGCCCCCCTCCATCAGCCCGAGTTGGTGTGTGCCCCCTGGGGGCCGCTGAGCCACCAAGTCACGAGGCCTCTAGCCCGGTACATGCTTGTAATGTGGTCGTGTTCCCCACTGGGCGGGTTCCTGCTGAGACCCACGGGCCAGCGGGGGGTTCCTGGGCCAGTGCGCTATGGTCCTTGGCTGCACGGTCTCACTCCAGCCTCCTGTTCCACGTGGGCCAGGAGAATATGTCTCAGGCAGGCCAAAAAGGCTAATCCCACCTGGCAGGGCATTTCAGCGTTCAGAAGGATTTGGGTCCCAGCGTGGGTTGGTTTGAAGAGAGTCCTTTTTAAAACCCGACATACTAGTCGGCGTAGCACTCTCTACTGTCCCAAAGGAACCAAACATTTAGGCGGCTCAACACAAGAGTTTAATTTCTCACCACACACCGGTGCAGTGCCTCGAACGGGCCTTCAGAGGCCAGAGGCGGCTCCTGCTTTGTGGCTCTGCTGTGCCCTGTGGCCTCTGACTCTTCCGCCGGGTCCTTCACCTCGGCCAGCAGTTAGAGGAAGAGAGAATGGAGAAGTCAGTGCACCTGCTCCCTACCCGCCTCAGCAGGGAAATGGCCCAATGGCCCGCACCACTTTCACTCCCAGACCGCAGGCCGGGACCGGTCACACAGCCCCACGTTGATGCAGAGGGCCTGGTAGACACAGTCCTGGCGTTGCAAACACATTCCGGCCACACAGCTGGGCCGGGAGAGGGGCTTTCGTGGCCAGCTGTCATCCCCGCCACACCTGAGAATGGCATGCTCCCCATTCTTCCTGCTCCTGCTTCCGGAAGGCCCTGTCTCTGCATAGAGCCCTTGAACTCACCTCTCCAGAGACCCGACATCCACAACACGCGGTCCCTTGTAAACCTGTCAAGTCACGTAACCCTTCCCAATGAGGAGGCTCGAAGTAGCCTGTCGCTTTCCCAGAGTCGCACCTCAGGAGGCCGTGAGGGGGTTGGAACCACGTGGGTAACGGCCGAGGGCCATGGAGCGGCCTGGCCAGGCCACCTCGGTCTCCCCGGCCCGTGACTGACTGTCCACGTCAAGATGCTCACTTCACTCTGGCCCGGGCCTGTTCTTTCCTCACCTAGATACACATAATGAGAGCTAGGACCACTGTCCTCACAGGAAGAAACCACAAAAGGGTCCTCAGCTCCCAGTATATGTCAGCTCTGCCCTCCCCTTTTCCGAACAACACCACAAAACCTCGCAGCAAAACATTCGTCTTAGAAATATGCTTTCAAAGATGGCGCTATCATTGCTGCTCTCTAAGGGAAAAGACTGAACTAACAGCTTTTGACGCAAATTCCGATGTTCCATGTTCTCCCAGGGCAAAGAATGGCCAGTGCACTGTTTACTACAGTCGTTCTAAAACTTTTTTCCAAACGGGTCACTTCCATGCGTCCCATGTAGTAGAACCCATCGGGAGAACCTGCAGGGATTCGGTGAAACTCATGAAATGGTCTTTCTTTATGTATATGCTTTGGGGCTTTGTTTTGTAATTGGCATTCTTCCATTTAAATTTTTTTTTTAATGTTTATTTATTTTTGAGAGGGAGAGAGACGGAGTGTGAGCGAGGGAGGGGCAGAGAGAGAGAGAGAGAGAGAGACAGGGAGACAGAATCTGAAGCAGGCTCCAGGCCCGGAGCTGTCAGCCCAGAGCCTGACGCGGGGCTCGAACTCACAAACTGAAGTCGGATGCTCAACCGACTGAGCCACCCAGGCGCCCCACATTCTTCCATTTTAAATGAGCTTTACTTTGCCTTCCTCCTGCTGTTCATTCATTCAGATTCTTTCTTTTTTTCTCTCGTTAGCTCCCACCAGAGACTGAAAGTCCCCACAGAGAAGGGACTGTAAAAGTTCCCCAAGGCATATGATAGATCATCAATAAACAATAAACAATAATAACTAACTTTTAAAAATACTCTACGACGTACAGCGTTCATCTGCAGGCACTATTTTATTCATTCCTCCAGGGTCATTATCTTGTGAGGGGCAGTGAGGGTGAACGAGTTTGAGATCCCACAGCTAGTGTGCCCAAACCCAAACATCGTGGCCCCAGCTTGCGGGCTCTTTCAACCACTGCATGATAATAAGTGCGTCCCAACTCCATAAAAGCAAACCAATAAACAACAGCAGCGACAAAGAGCCTTTCAGAATCCATGCTTAACACACTGATACATTTAGAAGAGATTATAAAAACGTCTGACAAACACTCCAATTCATGAAATAGTTCCCTGCTGAATTATGAGCATTCCAAATAAATTTGGAAAGGATTTTAATTTTCAAAATGTGATTTTTTTAACCTAATTTTCTGTAAAATAAAGCACCCATATTATAATTCACCAGTTGTATATAAACAAAATTTAGGGGTGCCGGGTAGCTCCGTCGGTTAAGCGTCCAACTTCAGCTCAGGGCATGATCTCATGGTTCATGAGTTCAAGCCCCGTGTGGGGCTTTGTGCTGACAGCTTGGAGCCTGGAGCCTGCTTCGGATTCTGTGTCTCCCTCTCTCTCTGCCCCTCCTCTGCTCATTCTCTCTCTCTCTCTCTCTCTCTCTCTCAAAAATAAACATTAAAAAATTTTAAATATATATATAATTTAGTTCAACAATATCACACACAAAAGATTTCATACTCAAAAGCTCCATGCATCCCTCGGGATGGAGATTTAAAATTACAAACATATAAAGCCCTTGTGCAGAAAACTGCAGGGTGTTTTGAGGATTGCTTGGCCTTGCTAAGGTCTCCAGGCCAACCCCAGAGGTGATGAGGGATGTCTGATATGTTTAGCAGGAAGCAGATTATACCCAGGGCCCTTGCCCCATGTCAGCAGAGCAGAAATGGAGACCAGCGGAGACCCAGAGGTGGAGAGCATCTTGGGTTAATGTCCACTGGGCTATTTTCAGCACTTCTGTGTATGCCTCAGGGGAAAGGTCGCTTCCAGAGCCTGCTAATTCACGGTCAGGGTCAGCCTTAGGGACGCTGTGGGCTGAGTAAACCAAAGCAGATCCACTTGGGGCCTTGGCAGGGCTTGACCGCAGTCTGTGGATGTCTCCCAAAACACATCTTCCCCTTACAGACCTTGGCTGCGTGCTGCTTGGTGCTGGAACACTGCAGTCAGGGGACAGCCCCTGCTCTTGAGCCGTTGTCTGCACCGTCGTGAAAGAGGATGTGGAAAGAGGAGAGAACGGAGGGACGCAGGGTCCCCAGTGCATATTCCCGGAGGACTGAGAGCATGTGGTATTGGAGCCCAGGCGCAGCCTTGAGCTGTTCCAGCCAGGAAGCTAGACAGCGAGGTTTCCATCGGGTCGGCCATTCAGGGAGCTAGCTCTGTTTTTGCGGAGATAGAAGTCGGTCAACTTCTAGCTTCCGCAGAGGCCCGTGGTAGATGGGACCATAAAAGGCGGAAGAGAGGAGCCAGCAGCGGGCTGAATCCCTGCCCGCCCTGGGGTGGGTGTTGAAGGCAGATGCGTGACCGCAGAGAAAACACAGTCCGCCCTGGAGCCAGGCAGGAGCGGCCTTCTCAGGGCCTTTCTCTTTTTGGCTTCCTCCCACGGCCCCAGACAGCCTTGCATTGAGAGTTCGGCCTCGTCCCTGCAGCCTGTGGGTGTCCGTGTTCACTAACAAGTAGTCTTTATGAGCCCAGGACAGGTTCCAGAAATGCTCAGGGACTGGAGGTAGAGCGGCAAAGAAGACCCAAGCTGTGGTCAGGGTGGCGGCGGGCCAGGGGTGATGGGGGTGGACGGCCAAGGCAGTAAGCTGTAGTGTAGTTTAAGGGTTTAAAAGTGAAAGCTTCCTGGAAGAGCCCAGAGAGCAGAGGGGCCAGTCTGCCCAGGAAGCAGTCGGTGAGTTGGGCCTCCAAAGACCACCCAGAAGGCAGACAGGGTGACCGATTGTAAGGCCCCAGGGCCACACCTCTCCCCTCGGAGTGAACGCTCCCCGCGGCCAAGGCGGAGTCTGCTTTGCATCGTGGGGGTGTCTCTGTTGGCAGACTGTAATGTGAAGACTTGAGGACCTGTGGTTTATTTGGAGGTGAGCCCAGGAGACACAGAGAGGGGAGGGGACAGGAGACAGGAAGGGAAGGCAGCAAATGACTCATTAAACAGGATGGCAGTTCGTCCCCACTGGGGAACTCAGTTCGTCCCCACTGGGGAACTCTTAAGAGCCAGCATAGAATACTGTCCTGCGCAACAGGCAGGGGAGTGGGGAGACTTATCCACCGGCTTCCCCTGTCATTCGTTGAGGGCTGCATCCAGGGGACCGGGATCGCCCCCCGCCCCTGGGGCAGCCCAGCAGTCTCTGATAAACAGAGCACACCTCAGGCAAAGAATCACAAGTGCTGGCAGTTGGGAGCCCAGAGGATATATATACCCTGAAATGATCCACAACGTCTGCTGCAGAGAAAATCAATATTGCCACTTACTGGCCATTCATAGCCTCACTGAGAGAGAGCCCGGGCATTTCTGGAGAAACCCAGGTGGGCTCGTTGGTCCCTGCCTTCCACACCAGCTGACTGATGCTATTGGGATGTGGCATTGGGAAAATGCCAGCAAAATAGAGACCCTTTTTCCCAGAAGAAGACCTCCATTACCACCATGGCAGGTGGAGCCCATAACAGGTAAATGGTAATAACACCCTCACTGGCCTTTCTTCTGAATGTTTCCATGGCCAGTGAGAGCAGTGTTGCTGTGGTCCGGAATAGCAACTATGGGGTAGATGCATACATATACACATGTATGGAGTTCGTGGTGCTGCCCTGTGACGTCAGATAAAAATAATGATAGTATAAAGCCCATTCAACAGGTAGAAGATAAAAAAGGCTGAGGGGTAGCGGATAGTATGATCGATGCTTTACACAGGTTGTCTCATAATAATCCTCTGACCGCCACGGAGGGCACACTGTCTCCATTGTCAGGTCAGGGAACTGGCACAGGAGGTGCTCTCTGACCAAGGTCGCCTGCCAGGAATCCCAGTAGCTGGGGCTCAGCCCTGGATCTGCCTGAACCCACAGTCCCTGTTCTTCACCCTGCCCTAAAGCAGCCCAGGTATGGGCGAGGGGAAGAGTGCTATTATGACCGTCCCCTGCTCTGAACAGGCACATGTAACACCCTTGATGGGTGTCCTCTCATTTAAACCCCACACCCGACCAGGGGGGGATTAGCTGTACCAAGGCTGAGAGGCTCTCAGAGCTTTCTGCCCAGGCCCCCTGACTCCACAGCGTCTGCTCTCCCCTCTACACAAGCTGGCTGTGGGGCAGAGCAGGCTGGAGAGGTCAGAGATGCAGCCCCAGCCGCGGGGGCCTTGTCCTGGGTGGGGAGAGGGTGCGGTCATGCGCGTGATCTACCGGAACACGGATGGGGTCATGGAATGAGCCCGACAGGCTATCACACCAGGAGGACTCGGGGAAGGAGGAGGCCACATCTGGGCAGGGGGAGAAGCAAGTGCTCTAGGAAAAGGGGGGCCTAGGACGTGAGGCCTTTGAGGGGTCACCAGAGCTCTGCCACATGGAGATGTGCGGAGGGACCCCAAAGATAGCGGAACCAGCCAGAGAAAGGCAGGACCCGGGCCCTCAGGCTTCCGGGAGGGCTGTACTCCAATCAGCCGCCACCGGGCTCAGAATGTAGAAGGCCTGTGTTCTGACTCCCGGCGAAAAAAGGGAACTCAGGTGTCCTGCCAGCCTGGGCGGCTAAATTAGAACTCGGTCTCTGAGCTGAGAAGAATGTCCAGCCAACACCTGAATGCCCTTCAGGCTGTGGTTCTAAAGCAGGGTCCTGGCCAGGGCAGTCCTCCGTGGACAACACCGTGAAATACTGATAACCTTCATTTCATTACGTGAGACAGTAATCATCTAATGGGTAAAAATGAATCTGTGTTTGAAGTGGCATGTGACGGGACTCTGCCCCCATGTCCCAGCACAGCAGCGCTGTGGCCCTGTAGGCCTCAAGCCCAGGAGCTGGTGTCCACACACAAGTTAGTCCCCAAAGCCCCAGGATCCTCATCACCCAACCCCCAGGGGGTCCTGTAAGGCTCCTCATAAAGGAAACAGCTTCTGGTGGCAGTTGCTGTGCCCAAGGCCGGTGAGCTCCGCCAGGTACTCAGGGCTGAGAAGGACCATGTACATGGTCCCCAGGCACATGGGCAGGACACGTCGTCCTTTTAGGCTTCGGCAAAAATAAGACAAGGCAACTTTCACCCCCTGGCATGCAGATCAACCCTCGGGGCCCCAGTCAGCAGCCATCACAGATGCTCTGAGCAAAACTGAGCCTAGCTGAGGGCCAATCCAGACCATGACCCTGAACTGAGGACCTCTCCAGCCTCACAGCTGACCAAGGGTTTCCACAGCACAGGCTATAAGGCAGGGCTGCTTTGGCCTTGGGTAGAGAGGCCCCTCATCCCGACTCGGCCCGTTATGGGCTCTGGGACCTTTGACAAGTTACGTAGCCTTGCCTACCTTTGTTCCCCCATCTGCAAGGTAGGATTGGGGATACCAAGTGCTTTCTCCCTCAGATCCTCTTCAGAATGGGGCACGTGCCCTGAGTTGAAGAGAAACGTACATGCAGAACAGGAACAAACCCTCACTCCTCCACGACCCACACAGAACACTTCTGGGGCCAGATGTGTGGGGTTTTTCCATTATCAACCAACTCACTGACCACAGCCGGGTATCCTGCAATTCCATGCTGACCCTGTCTCCCTGGAGTGAGCCCCAGATCCCGCAGCCAAGGGCTCAGGACTGCGTGACTTCGGATACCAGTTGCAAGTCCCAAGTTGTCATTTGCATTTTGACCAGCCAGCTATACTCAGGGTTCCCACGACCTCCTCCCGAGGTGCAGTAGTTTGCTGGAACGGCTCAGCTCACAGAACTTGGGGAAGTACTTTTGTCCATAATAAAGGACACAGATGAACAAGCAGATGAAGACGTACATAGAGTGAGGCCCTGGAGGGTCCTGAGCACCGAGGAGCTGGGGTGTACCACTCTCTAGGCACATGGATGTGCCGACCAGGAAGCTCTCAGAACCCCCTACTTCGGGGACTTTTATGGAGGCCTCATTCTGTAGGCACAATCAATTATCAATTCATTTTCCAGCCCTTCTTCCTTCTCTGGAGTGTGGGGGTGGGGCCGACAGCCCTAAGTTTCTACTCGTGGCTTGGCCTTTCTGGTGGCCAGTCCCATCCTGGAGTCCCCCAGAGTCACCTCCTTAGCATAAAAGATGCTCCCAGAACCCAGGAAATTCCAAGGGATTTAATTTAGGAGCCCTGTGTCAGGAACTGGGGTCAGAGACCAAATGTTAGCAGGAACCTGGACAGAGTCTGGAGTGTGTGTGTGTGTGTGTGTGTGTGTGTGTGCATGCAATCTCACAGGGCTGTGATTGGTGGGATGTGTCCAAGTGCCAAGGGCAGGCAGGGTGTGTTAACCTGGAGGGAGGCCAGGGAGGGTGATGGAGTCATCTCCCATCCAACCAGGGGAAACCATGGCCCAAGGGCAAAAGGCCAGACCCGCAGTTGCCAACAGTAGCTCTCCCTTCACCTCTTCTGTGCCCAGCCAGCCTAGGGGAGGAGGGGGGCCATTCTGAGGAGGCCGAGGTGACCAACTACCCAGGTATATGTGCAATAGAAGCCTGATCTCTGAGTTTCTCCCCATCTGTGGAGCACTGGGGCCTCGAGGGACTTCCTGGGGACCTTCAGCTCTGCTAAAGAGGCGTGGCCTCGTGGACTTCTTAGAGTCCGCCGATCCAAGGACCCCCACAAGCCGGTCGTGGGGAAGAGACAGACAGCAGCCTCACCTTGCTGTCAGGTGATAACAGCCCTCTCTGGTTTCTCTCCTCCCACCCGCAGACCTGGCCGCGGTTTTGCAGAGCCCCGACGGGAACTGGGTGGCCCTGAAAGATGGCGCTCTGCCGCCCACCCGCCTGCTGGCCAAGCCCAAGAGTGGCACGTTCCAGTCCCTGGAGGCAGCCTCCCGTGTGACATCTGCCTACGAGGAGATGGGCTCCGAAAGCGAGGAGGACTTTGACTGGAGTGAGGCCTTGAGCACGCTGTGCCCGCGGCCCCTAGGCCTGCCCAGGAGCCCCCAGCCTCAGCCCACACAGGCCCAGGGTTCGGACCAAGGCCCCTCGGCCACCTCCGCCTCCTCTGGGCTCTCTCCCAACCCCGAGGCCATGTGCTCCGACTCAGAGACGTCCTCTGCGGGCTCCTCCCGGGAAGCTGGGCGCCGGGCCAGACTGTCCTGGTTGCAGAGGAAGGCCCCCAGGGACCCCGCCGCGGAGAAGATACGCCTGCAGGGAGAGTTGGACGTGAACTTCAACCCCCAGGCAGCCAGCAGGGAGACCTCGGACAGCAGCGAGCCCGAGGAGATGCCCCAGGCTGCGGACCGGAAGGCCAGGAGGTGGAGAAGGGCCCGTGTGGGCTCAGAGGAGCCGAGCGAGGAGTTGTCTTCTCCCAACGCCCATTGCCAGGGGCTGGGTGCACATCAGGTAATAAAACCGGGTGTGTGCAGGTGCATGTACACGCTTCTCAGCAAGAGGTGCCCTTCTGCCAGCATGACTGGTGCCGAAAGGGCTGGGTTTAGAATTCACAGACCCAGATTCTCACCTTGGTTTGCTGGGAGGTAGCTGAGTGGCCCAGACAGCTCGCGTCACCTCTCTGGGGTTCCATGACCTCCTCTCTGGAGACGAGCGCCGACAGGTCAAAGTGGGTTTGCAGTGTTGCCCCCAGACCATCAGCGTCAGCGCCACCTGGGAACAAGTTAGAAATGCAAATTCTCAGGCCCCGCCCCACCCAAAAACCCTGGGGACGTGGTGCGGCATCTGCTGGAACCAGCTCTCCTGGTGAGTCTGCTGGACCGAAGCGTGAGGGCCGCTGGCTTAGGGTTAAAGGTATGGGGTCTAGAGTCAGGCTCCCTGGCTTCAAATCCAGCTGTGTGGCCTTGGGCGAGGGCTCAGTTCCTTCCTCTGTAAGTGTAGATGGTTTTACCAGCCATTTCAAAGAACGGTTCTGATGCACGAAAAAGGTGAGGCTTATAAGGAACCGAGCTCTGTCCTGGACAGAGTACAGGGCTCAGTAAATATTATTCCAGTATGATAGCTCAGGCCACAGTTTACTCACATTCTGTGACTCTTTCGTCCGCCTCACACCCCCTCTACGTGTCTTCAGTGGCCTTGCCAACATGAATTAGTTCACGAGCCTCCTTTGAGACTCTGTGATGAAAGTTACAGACTCTCTACCTGGAAAAATGCACCCGTACACACACACACACTCACGCACCTGACACACACACAAATATACACACACATACACATACTCCCACACAGGCGTGCACTCGAATGTCATTTTACGTACAACGTCAGGTAGTTCGTGCACCCCCAACCGGATTAATTCTGTATTCTCCAAAGACACCCTGCTCGCTCGCTCGCAACTCTGTGCTGGGATCACGCTGTGCCCTGCCCCTCCCTTGCCTCTTCCCGGCGAAGCGCGACGCGGCCAACTGAATGTGGGACTTTGTGGAGCCCGCTCTCATCTCAATATTTTCTAAACTGAAAAGCGACACAGGTGGCCCGGAGAATTGAAATGACTTCATGAAAACAATGGGTTGCATTTGAAACTGAGAGTCTAATGGAAGAATCTTGTTAGGGTGCCCCTGCCTTCTGTAGGCTCACATTACTGTCGGGTTGACCTTTTACACTCCTAGAGAAAGCACACCCACTTCCGGAACCTCACTGCGTTGCCAGTAGCCCTCAGCCACCGTGCTCTGCATTCCTAGTTTGCGTCTAACCAAAAGCAGGCGCTGAGTCAAGGATTTGGATGCAGGTTTAGGTGGGAGGAGATCCCAGGAACCCCAAGGGTGAGCCAGGGTGGCGAGAAAGGCCTATTAAGGCTGACTACTGAGGCTGTGCTCTCCAGCAGGGACCCACTGAGAAGCCACATGGGACACGCCTCCCCCCTGAGGACAGGAGCATTAGTCACAGTCTCCCGTCTCCCATTGGTAGAGAGTGGCCCCTCCCAGGAGAGAATTAACTGGAGACACAAGCAGTTTCTGGAGAAATCCTGCAGGCAGAGACACCCGGGTCTGAGGTGGGAAACTATCAGTAGCCAGAAACTATCCTTCAGGACTTCAGGCAACTCAGGCACCTCCAGCGGATACAGGCTGGGACGTCACCAGTGGCTCCGACAGTGCCCTCTCGGGAATGCATCAGCCAGATCCCTGCTCTTGAGAGACCCCGTGGTGAAGATCGTTGGGGACTCAGAGGCCCTCGGGTCACAGAATCTGGCAGCGGTCCTTCCTGAGCTGCTAATGTATCCCCTAGAAAACATCCTTTCTTTGCTCCAAGGTCTCATTTGCTCCTCCGTAACACCAGACCATTATTATCTAGCTCAAGTGGAGACTGTCCTACAGAGACTTTGGGTGACTTACCTGAAGGGATGTTCTTGAGGGCAGTTGGCCTGACTCACAGGCAGGCATCAAATGCCACGTATCCACAACAGCTGGCTGCATGAAGCTTCCTATTTATTCTGAAGTGGCTTGAAAGTTGTCTTCCGGTGGCAATATTTGCAAGGCATCGATAGAAGGCAGGACCGGCAGAAAAGCACTTGGGACCAGCGTCGCTTCTGTCTCCCTGCAGTGTCCTCTCCTCCCCAGTAGGTGGCAGTGGTGTTGCACCAACAGAGACTTCAAAACTGGCCCTCCTAGCTCTCCCTCTTAGTTTACTAGGGCAAGTCTCTCTTCTGTCTTCTCAAAAACAAAACTAACTAAAAATAAAAATAAAAATAAACACACACACACACACACACACACACACACACACACACACATCTCCAATACTGAGGGATGCATCATTTTTTGAGAAAAGTATGAAATCTTTTGTATATATGCGTGAACATATATATACGTGTATATATATGTATAGTATTTTTA